GCCTCTTTTCCATGTGGATTCAATTTGTGTGAATTTCCTTAAAGCTGGGAGAGAGTCGGAGCTCCTCCTGGGAGAATAGAGCCTTCAGACCTCTCGGGAGCAGCCTCAAGTGGGAGGAGAGAATTAGTAGGGGCTGGAGGGTCAACGTGGTATCAACAGTTCGCCCTGCCCCGAGCTGCTGGGAGCAGGGTAAGAGGAGACTTGGAGTCATGGCCCTCGGGGAGAACACTGATGAGCGGGACAGAGACCCAGGCCGGCCCGGAGCTCACGGAACAGCTTTCCAGGTCAGATCTGCACACACTGAGCAATGATTCGAAAACAGTGTCCACCGGGTGGACTTTTAGACCTGACTGCTCTGGGGTTGAGTCCTAGCTCTGCCGCTCACCAGCTGGGCAACCTTGGTTAGGTGGCTTTACTTCTCTGCGAGTTTCATGTAAAATGGAGATCAGGGAATCTCAGTGCATGGCCCCCACTTCCAGGTTTTCCATATTCTTTGCTGAGTCTGAATTGGAATCTAGACCCAGCCAGGGGATTTGGCTATCTTTTTTGTTGTTTATTATTGACACGTAATAATTGTACTTGTCTGTGGACTACAGTATGATGTTTCTTTTCTTTTCCTTTTTTTTTTTTTGAGGTGGAGTCTCGCACTGTTGCCCAGGCTGGAGTGCAATGGCACGATCTTGGCTCACTGCAACCTCCGCTTCCTGGGTTCAAGTGATTCTCCTGCCTCAGCCTCCTGAGTAGCTGGGATTACAGGCACACATCACCATGCCCGGCTGATTTTTTTGTATTTTTAGTAGCGACGGGGTTTCACTATGTTGGTCAGACTGGTCTTGAACTCCTGACCTTGTGATCCACCTGCCTTGGTCTCCCAAAGTGCTGGGATTACACAGCACCCAGCCCAATGTTTCAATGTATACATTGTATAGTGACCAAAGCATGGTAGTTAAAAAAAATATGGAATGCTTTACAAACTTTCGTATTATTCTTGAGCAGGACCATGCTAATCTTCTCGGTATTTCAATTTTAGTGTATGTGCTGCTGAAGGAAGTGCTTTATGAAAGTGTCTTTATAAAAAAGATCATAGGTGTGCAAGGCCACATGTCTCAGGTGTCAGGGGTGTTGATTTTCCTGATTTCAGAGAAGAGAGATATCTGTTATATGGAGGCTAAAGCTCGAAATACCTTTATTGAGCACCTATTGTGTGCTGGGGACTGTCCTGTCCCTGGGGATGTAAACCATAGATGAACTGAGCCCCTGACTTCCAGGAATTACCCCTGATTGGAACATGAGTGTGGTGAAACTTCTAGAACTCCAGGATCTGTGTTAGAAAGCGGGATAGAGCATGAGGCAGAAATACCTGGGGATCCAGGAAGGGATCCTCCAGGAGGGCTTTCTGACCTGGGCCCTGGCGAATGAAAGACAGGTGCCTCCAGTGGTAAGCAATGGAGGCAGGGGTGTAATTGGGACGTAAGGTGGTAGGTTGGGAACAGGAGAGATGGGGCTGAGATGTCAATCAGAGCTGGCTCACAATGGTCCTGGTGTCAAACGAAGATGTGGGCTTTATCCTTGAAGGGTGCTTGTGTTTTGAGCAGGGTGTGTCTGGAGTCCCCAGGACAACCTCCTTGTGCAATGATTGGGACTCAGCATGTAGTCACACTCATGGCTATGATTCATCAGAGTAGAAGGATACAGAGTAAGGCCAGCAAAGGGAAAAGTTTCCTGGGTGAAGCCTGGGGAAGACCAGGCACAAGCTTCCAAGGGTCCTCTCTCAGTGAAGTCACATAGGTTGTGCTCAGTTGCCTCAGCCACAGGTTGAGACAACGGTGTGAAATGTTGTCTCTCAGAGGAGCTCATTAGAGACTCAGTGCCCAGAGATTTTATTTGGAGGACGGTCACACAGACACCCTTGATCTAATGCTCACTAAACTTCCAGACTCCCAAAAGGAAAGCAGGTGTTTAGCTTAAACCATATTGTTCCCACAAACATTTTAGGCGGAGTAAGCTGCTCACGTCTGTTAGGATGGGAGCCCTTCTGTCATCTACATTCCCAGATACCAGCCAAGTGCTAGCTCGCAACAGGGCTTTTTAAGAATGGCAGTGCCTCATGCCTGTAATCCTAGCACTTTGGGAGGCCGAGGCGGGTGGATTGCCTGAGCTGAGGAGTTTGAGACCAGCCTGGGTAACATGGTGAAACCCTGCCTCTACTAAAAATACAAAGAGAGCCAAGTGTGGTGTTACATGCCTGTAGTCCCAGCTACTTGGGAGGCTGAGTCAGGAGAATCGCTTGAACCTGGGAGGCGGAGGTTACAGTGAGCTGGATTGCACCACTGCACGCCAGCCAAGGGGATAGAGTGAGACTCTGCCTCAAAAAAAACCAAACCAAACAAAAACCAAACAATAAAACAATGGCAGCACCAACTCTGTTCTGCATACAGGGGCAGGCACTAACACGGTGTGCTTGTCTGGAAACCCATGAGAACAATGGATTGGCGTTGGAGCCAGGACAAACTGGAGGCAGGGAGGCCAGTGGGAAAGCCTGGCAAGAGTCTTTTAGAAAGATGAGGCCTGATCTAGGGCAGCTGTCTTTATCAGGCTTTTGGTTGTGAGTCCTCATGTCAGAGTGTCTCAGGAAGACAAAGGATTATTTAGTACATGGACTCAGGCATGTTGCAGAACTAACTCAAAGGCAAAAATCCCACGAACCACTCAGGAGACCAGATTTGGCTTCTACATAGATGTCAGAAAGGATGGGCTTCTCTTGGTTTTCTTTCCCTAGGACCACGAGGTTTCTCTTTCTGGTTTCCTCTGCATATCCTCCGGAGTCCCCTTTCTCTAGAGATTGACTTCCTTTGTTTTTGACACAATGGCTGCCAGATAGAAAAGCCTCATCCCTGTCGTATTTACATGCTCTGTCTTCCTGTGAGCATCTGGGACTCACACCAGTATCTCTCAACTGCAATTACAATTTCCTGTGAGAATCTGATTGGTGTGCATTGGGTTAGGCGTCCTCTTGTTCCAAATTAGCTAAGGCTAGGGACTGAGAATCGCATAGTGTTAGCATGGCTGTCCCATGAGCTGGGACAAGAGCTGAGAAAGAAAATGTTGTTATGGTCCCTGGATACCAGGCGGTGATCAATCATTTGAGTTAATCTGACGCATGAGTTCAGTTAGGGAGCTAAATAAACTCAAAAATTGGGAGGCTGTGAATTTGACATCATATTAGTAGGTAAATTTTAGAAAAACTTTATTCTGCAAGGATCATAAAATCAACGGTAGTTATAACTTTGACAGTAGGTTCTGCTCTCCAATGGAACACATTCTGCTCCTTCTGTTCTGATTTCTGAGAATGAAGTGAGAAGTCAGAAATACACGAGCTGTTTCCCTCACCCTTATATATAACACTTAGTGATGGGGATTTTACTGGGGACAGTGAGGCAAAGAAGTTGGGTGGCTTTTGCAAGTTCACAGAGCATGTCCTTAGATTCACATTGAGTCTCTCATTTGTTTTTTCCACAAACATTTAGAGTCCCTAATGGAAGAGTGTTGATCTTTGGGGCAGGTGCACAGAGTGAGCAAATGTACTCTCTACTTCGGAGAGTTTAATCTCTTTAAAGACACAAGTGTGAACGTTTGAGGTGACGGATATCCCATTATCCTGCTTTGATCATTATACATTGTGTGCAGGTATCAAAACATCACATCTGCCCCCAAAATAGGTACAACAATTATGTGCAAATAAAAAATTATATGAAAAAGACACAGGTGTGTAAAGGGTACATGATTAACGACATAACAGAGGAGAATCAGGGATTTTGAGTTGCAAGCAACATAAATGAACTTTGGGTAACTTAAGCAAGAAAAGGAGAAATTTACTGGAAGTATATGGGGTGACTAATAGAATTAAAGATACGTTGCAGCACCCGGCTTTGGAAAGCTCGGGAAAGTGAGTAGTCCAAAGATCCAGTGAGCAGGAGAGAATGGACGGTTTCTTCAGCGCTCCCAGTATCAGGAGAAAAGTCACCCCAGGCATTTTCCATCTTGGATCACTTGCTGGCAATTTAAGGCCCTGCAGGACAATCTGATGGGTCTAATGTGGACCATCACCTAGCTTTTTCAGGGCCTCTTGGCTGATGGCACCACCAAGGCTATAGCCATAGGAAAGAGAATAGCTCCCTACAGAAATCTGCATCCTGTAACCAGAACAAGGCAAGGAGAGATGGGACTGGCCAAGACTCATTGTTGGCTCCAGTATCGGCGATCTTCCACACTAGTTAATTTTTTTTTTTTTTTTTGAGATGAAGTTTTGCTCTTGTCACCCAGACTGGAGTGCAGTGGTGCAATCTTGGCTCACTGCAACTCCCACCTCCTGGGTTCAAGTGATTCTCCTACCTCAGTCTCCCACATAGCTGGGATTACAGGTGCCTGACACCACACCTGGCTAATTTTTGTATTTTTTTTTTATGGGAAACTGCTCTTTATTTAGACCTTCGGGACAAAATTAACTTTGGTCACATATTACTTAAAAAAAATCCAATTTTACATATTTCTAAATAGATAGGACTAAATGATCATGGAAATAATTTCTTCTGTAAAAATTGGCCAAATTTTATCAAAAATCTAACACAATGTAATTCAAACTATATAAAGACTAGTTGGGAGCATAATATTCCAAATGTATGACAGTTGTGACTCCATCCTAACAGGTGTGAAAAGTACTTGTTCTCATGTTGCTTCGGTCCAGAAGAGTAGAGCTGACTTAGTAACAGGAAGCTAAGTACCTAATCTGTTGCCAAAATTAATTTAGATTGTGACTGGCAGCAGAAATATCCATGATGAATAGCTCTACTATAACAAACATAAAAGAATACTTTTCATGAACATATCATAGTATCAAATACATTTTTCATAAGAGAAAAATATGAAGGAAATGATGAAATAGCTATCATAAAACAAAGAAAGGTCTCCCCCATAAGGTGATGAAATTAGAGGGTTGATGATGATAATATCAAAGGAAGTTGAGTACTGTATTTATTTCTTATTTTATACAACTCTTACTCTTTACAAAAATGGTTATAGTCATGCCCATAAAAGTGTAACCCATGGCATTTGAAAGCAAACACTCTTTGTAATTATTTAAAAGGGCCTTCTAAAAATTATAATACAAAGGTCTGTGCTCTATAAGCAGGCCTCCACTGTGCATTATAACAATAAGTCTTACTTTTAATACAAAGACTAAGTGTTTGGGAGTTATGAATACTGGATTTAACAAACATTATTTTATAATTGCTTTTTGCATCTTTTTTGTTTTGGGGATCCTCCACTTCATCAGGGTGCTCAGCAGCTTGGAGTGCTTCAGCAGATTCAGTCCTTCAGCAGATTCATTCAGATTCAGATTTCTCTGACTCTGAATCGCTTTCAGAGTCATCTGGACTTTCAGGATCAGGTGAATCATCATCGTCGTCATCATCATCTCCAGCCACATCACCTTCTCCATCATGATCTTCTACCTCACTGAAGCCAAGTCCACAATGTCGCTGATATCTTCCTGAATAATTTACTGTCCATACTTTGCTGATATTGAGACTCCAGTTCTTCATTTATTTTCTTGTCTTCTTCCCCTGCTCGGAAGTGAGATGTTGATTTGTGATCTCCTATAACAAGACTACCAGTATGTTCTTTCTTTCCTGCACCCATAAGTCTCAAGAACTTTTGTTTTCTCTCTTCATTACCCAAGTCTGCTGCCTCCCAGTTGCTAGATCCCAGATCATCGTCTGGGGAGGCTGAACGCTTCACCCCGTGTGGGTGAGACTCTCTGGCAGCACTCATGCTTGCGGGGATCCTGACGAGAAACGTGGAACCCTCTCGTCGCTCTCCTCAGCCTCAACACCAGCAGCGTGCAATCCGCCACCAGCCCAAGCAGTGCCACTCCAGAACGCAGAGCCCCTCCAGTAATTTTTGTATTTTTAGTAGAGATAGGGTTTCACTATGTTGGCCAGGCTGGTCTCAAACTCCTGACCTCAGGTGATCCACCCACCTCAGCCTCCCAAAGTGCTGGGATTACAGGCATGAGCCACCACAGCACCCGGCCACCAGTTGAATTTTCTAGGTGGGCCTATGACCACCTAAAGGTTACATTTCCCTGCATCCCTTGCAAGTAGGCATGCCTGCGCAACTGAGTCCTGGCCAGTATAATTGAAGTAGGGTATCATGTGGCAGTTTCCAAAAATTTTTCTTAAAAAAGAGCGGAATCCTTTGTCACCTCCTCTTCGATTCCTACCCACTCCCTCCTGTGGCACTGGATATGCTCTGATGACTGAAGTTCCAGCCACCGTCTTGTGCTGAGAGCCTGAGAACCATACCCTGGGAAGAATTGGAGAAAAAGCCAGAGTAGCCTGGATTCCAGAAGATTGTATAGTTGCTTCTCAACCCTGGGCTTTTGCGTGGAGGGATAAGTTCACTTCTATTCTGTTTAAGCCATGGTTGTTTCAGGGACTCTGTTACTTGCAGCAGAGCCAAATCCTAAGAGATCCAGCAGGCACCACTATAGATGCCTGCAACAGGAGGTGTTACAATGTGCTGCTGGAACCCAGAAGAGAACGTGACAAAATCTACCCGGAAAAGGTCAGGGAAGCCTTCATAGAGGAGGTGGCATTTGAGCAAGGTCTATGAAGGAACTAAGCATTCCAGGCTGAGAGGGAAGGATGGCAGGTCCTGCTGATCCTCCCCCGCTCCCTTGAGACTTGGTGCATGAATCTGGGAGTTGCTCCCTTCTGGTTCTGTGTTGTGTTCTTACGATCTCCATGACTACAAAAACCACACTACGGGGTCCTATCGAAATCAAGCAATTTACCAAAAATAGAGGGACGTTTGGGCTCAGTGACACCTCAGCTCTTCTGGGAAAAAGCCAATTTCCGATTGCATTTTCACAAATCTGATAGAGTAGATGTCACAGTGGAATTAAGCGTGTACATGTGTTTATGTATACATCCGTGTGTGTGTGTATATGCGTGTGTGTGTAATCGTGGAGGACTCTGAAAGTGTACCTTCAACCTGATCTTATCTTTATTTGCTAAAACCCAGATCAATATTTTCATTACCACTTAATTTCTTTTAGGTGAGAAGAGATTATATTCAATAGCTCTTTGGCAGTTTCTGGCAGTAAGAGGCTGTACCAGGGCTAGTCCCCATGGCTAGCAGCTTTACTCCCTTGCCTTGGGACCCATGTAGCTGCTCAGAGAAGGGTCACAATGTATGTGAAGAAGTTGGGTGAGGCTGTGGGCATGGGGCTGGCCGGAGACCAGTCCATCTGCACTGGGAGGGAGTCATCTGGTCTCAAATCAGTTCTGTCCTTGTCCACTCCTTATGAATCCTCAGCTTGGTCTCCATCAGCCTCCTCCATGACTGTGACTACTCACAGGACCCAGTCTGAGAACCTTATAGTAACCACATTCCATGCCTTGGGCATACAAGCCAAGCCTCTAGCAGATTCCTCTGAACGTATTTCTAGAATGAAGAGAAAGGCTTAGGATGAAGGGAATGGCTGAAACTGGACCTGCCTGGATGAAGACTTCTTTTATTAGGCTGAAATGGGAAGCACATGAAGCTTCTTTGCAATTAAAGGAGCCCTGCACTTAGCTGTTCGGAGTCTCTGACAGGCAGGCCTGGCTGGTTCTGGGCTGTAGAGGAGACAGAAGAAATGAAGGAGGAGACTCAGAAATGAAGCTCAACACACTTTTCTGGGCACTTCAAGGACCCATTTCATGAATTCAACTCAATCGAACTAGCACTTGCAAACGTTCACTCTCAGATTAGTCAGACCACAGTCACGTCCCACCTGCCCCATAGCTCATGACTGCCCGCCAGAGACCACCAAAAACACACAGGTAGCTTAACAAAGTTGGGTTGAACACACAAGTAGAAAAAAGGGAGAAGACCCACCACAGGAAACTATAAGGCATCCCAGTGAGGGAGGGTTGGAGAGGACTTAGGATCTGGGCTTGTGTTGGGTGACGGTGGACAGAGTTCAAGGGAATGGAGCTTTGCTCTGGATTGGATGATGGTGGAGGTCATTCTGCATTTGGAATTTTTTTTTTGAGACAGAGTCTCACTCTATGACCCAGACTAGAGTGCAGTGGCACCATCTCAGCTCACTGCAACCCCCCCCACCAAGGTTCCACTGATTCTACTGCCCCAGCCTCCTGAGTAGCTGGGATTACAGGTGTATTCCACCATGCCCAGGTAATTTTTTAATTTTTTTGGTAGAGATAGGGTTTCACCATGTTGGTCAGCCTGGTCTCGAACTCCTGACCTCGTGATCCACCCACCTCAGCCTCCCAAAGTGCTGGGATTACAGGCGTGAGCCACCGCGCCTGGTCGTATTTGGTATCTTAATGATTATTTTCTCTAAGTTGAGGAGAATGGAGAGAGGCAAAGGCTGTTATTGCTAAAGACGTAGTGGTCACTCATGGTAGCCCAGACTGGGAGATATCCGGTGATTTTCATGAACCTCTGGACAAGGTTCATGTTGTCTGTGTTCAAACATGATTATAAGGGGTCTGGATTGGGATTTAAGGCATCACAGTCCCAGGTCTCTGTGTCCAATGTTGATGCCCTGCAAAATTGCTCATGTTCAACAGTAGAGCACCAAGGCCTAGCTAAGCACACCTGGCCAGCTCTTGGCTTCTGGGGTGCCTTCCTCTTTCCTACCCAGGACACATTCCCACATGTTTCATTTTGTCCACTCTATGCCATGGGCTGTGCACTGTGAGTCCAGAGAAGAAACAGCCATAGTTCCACCCCATGGGAGCTCTCATCTTAGAACAGGGACAGACTCATCACTAATTGTGGTAATATTTTCAATTCACAAACTCAGCTGAGCAAACAAAAATAAAACTAGTTTTCTATAATTCAACCTAATTTCTGTCTCAAGTTTCCCATTCAGCTGGAATAGAAACTTATTTTCAGTTGCTGTGGTCTGAATGTTTGTGTTCATATTTTGAAATCCTCAGCCACAAGATGATGGTATGAAGAGGTGAGACCTTTGGGAGGTGATTTAGTCAGGAGGGTGGGGCCCTCATGAATAGGATTAGTGTCCTGATTTGAAAAAAAAGGCTGCAGGGAGATCCCTTGCCCCTCCTACCACATGAGGACACAGTGAGAAGGCATTATCTATTGACTCAGGAAGCAGGCCCTTACCACACACTGTATCCACTGGTGCCTAGATCTTGGACTTCCCAGCCTTCAGAATTATGAGAATGAATCTGTGTTGTTTATAAGCTATTCAGTTTATGGAGTTTTGTTATAGTTGCCTGAATGAATTAAGAAATCTGTCATCGTCTCCCTGTCTGTCTTCACGGCTGCCTGTCCATGTTCAAGAGGGCTGATATAGTGGAAGGGGCGTGGTCAACAATTTGAAATCAAAATCCTGGGTGATATTATCTAGGGCTGATGTAGTGGAAGGGGTGTGGTCAACAATTTTTGAGATGTCAGTCACCACCTGTGAAGTCTGACCTACAGACCCTTACTTAACACGGATGAATGATGCATTCTCACACCATTGCGGTGATACAAGTTGGCTAAAGATGGCCCTTGGCTGCTTTCAGAGGGCGAAATGCAAACAGTCAACCCAGACCCCCAGTTTATCCGCACTTTTATTTCTGTAGATTTTACAACAGAGGTTCTAAGCTAACACACTTGTGGATAATTAACATGGTTAAGAGAATGGTTTTATAAATGGTAAAAGGTTTAGGTTCTGGGGCCCAGAGTAAATACTATTAACAGGTAATTCCCCTTTGATCCTTCCCAGCACAACATTAGCATCAATAAACAGAGTGGAGACAAAGGGATGGGGGGTAAGGCCTTTGGTCATCTCTCTTTTCTACGCTAATGTAATGAGGTGATTGCCTTCAACCTGCCTCAATGAAACCTTTTGGACTTCCAAAATGTTTGAGATAACAATCTATAACTTTTCCTAATAATTAATATCTTGCCAGCCACCCCGAGTGAATATCAATATCAACAATTTGAAATAAAAACTCTAGGTGGTGTTATCAAGGTGTGGGAGGAAAAGAGGGTGGGCAGTTAGAGGAAGTAAAACTATGCCAAGCACTGTTTACAATAGCAAAGACCTTGAGCCAACCCAAATGCCCATCAATGATAGACTGGACAAAGAAAATGTGGCACATATACACCACGGAATACTATGCAGTCATAAAAAAGATAAGCTCGTGTCCTTTGCAGGGACATGGATGAATCTGGAAACCATCATTCTCAGCAAACTGACACAAGAACAGAAAGAACATGACAAAAACACCACATGTTCTCACTCATAGGTGGGTGTTGAAGGTGGGTGTTGAACAAGGAGAACACGTGGGCATAAGGAGGGGAACATCACACACTGGGGTAGGTTGGGGGGTGGGGAGGCTGGGGAGAGAAAATACTGGGAGAAATGCCTGATGTAGGCGACGGGGATGGAGACTGCAAACCACCATGGCATGTGTGTACCTATGCAACAACCCTGCAGGATGTGCTTATGTACCCCAGAGCTTAAAGTACAATTAAACAAAAAAACTATGCCAAAGGTTCATCTCAGTCAACCAGAGGGATGTGTTTACGGATTTATTTTGAGAGTTGCTTTAAAAACTTGTGTTTGCTAATAATTTCAAGTTATAGAAAATGTTAACTTTCAGTCCAGCACAGGAAAAATATCATAGCTGCAATAACAATAAAAAGAAACTTGATCAAGCCAATGAAAACCAAGGAAAGGAAAATAAGGAAAAAATAGAACACTAGGAAAACAAAATAAAACAGCAGAAATAAATATAAATATATTATCTATTATAGTCATGCAAACATATTAAACTTACCAATTAAAAGAGATTCTTAAATTTGATTTTTTTAAAAAAAGGTTGCTATTTAAGAGCAACTATAACTATTTATACAA